ATACACCCACGGGTGCTGAGGGAACTGGTGGAGGTCATTGCTAGGCCACTGTCCATCATCTTTGGGAAGTCGTGGGCAACAGGAGAGGTGCCTGAGGACTGGAGGATAGCAAATGTCACTCCAGTCTGCAAGAAGGGCAAGAAGGAGGACCCAGGTAACTACAGACTGGTCAGCCTCACCTCCATCCCTGGAATAGTGATGGAAAAACTTATTCCTGGCACTATCTCTAGGGATATCAAGGATGAGGGGGTCATTAAGAGCAGTCAACATGGTTTTACCAAGGGTAAGTCATGTTTGACCAACCTTATACCCTTCTATGAGGAAGTAACCAGGTGTATAGATAATGATAGTGTGGTGGATGTGGTTTATCTTTATTTCAGTAAAGTATTTGACACTGTCTCCCACAGCATCCTTGTAGATAAACTGAGGAAGGATGGTCTGGATGACCAGATAGTGAGGTGGATCATGAACTGGGTAAAAGGGAGAAGTCAGAGAGTTGTAGCCAATGGGGCAGAATCTAGTTGGAGGTCTGTGACTAGTGGAGTCCTTCAGGGGTCGGTACTGGGACCAGTGTTGTTCAATATCTTCATCAACAACCTGGATGAGGGAACAGAATGTACCCTCAGCAAGTTTGCTGATGACACTAAACTGGGAGGAGTGGCTGACACACCAGAAGGCTGTGCTGCCATTCAGCAAGACCTAGACAGGCTGGAGAGTTGGGCAGGGAAAAACTTGATGAAATTCAACAAGGGCAAGTGTAGAGTTTTGCATTTGGGGAAGAACAACCCCATGTACCAGTACAGGTTGGGGGCTGACCTGCTGGAGAGCAGTGTAGGAGAAAGGGACCTGGGGGTCCTGGTGGACAGGAGGGAGGTTCTCCTCCCCCTCTATTCTGCATTGGTGAGGCCGCATCTGGAATATTGTGTCCAGTTCTGGGCCCCTCAGTTCAAGAAGGACAGGGAACTGCTTGAAAGAGTCCAGTGCAGAGCCACAAAGATGATGAAGGGAGTGCAACATCTCCCTGATAAGGAAAGGCTGAGGGAGCTGGGTCTCTTTAGCTTGGAAAAGAGGAGACTGAGAGGAGACCATCAATGTTTACAAATATGTAAACGGCAAGTGTCTGGAGGATAGAGCCAGGCTTTTTTCAGTGATGTCCAGTGATAGGACATGGGGCAATGGGTGCAAACTGGAGCATAGGAGGTTCCATGTAAACATCAGAAAAAACTTCTTTACTGTGAGATTGACAGAGCCCTGGAACAGGCTGCCCAGAGAGGTTGTGGAGGCTGCTTCACTGGAGACATTCAAAACCCGCCTGGACATGTTCCTGTGTGATGTGCTCTAGGGGACCCTGCTCTGGCAGGGGGGTTGGACTAGATGATCTTTCAAGGTCCCTTCCAACCCCTAAGATTCTGTGAAATCTTCAGGGCACTGGCTAGCTCTCAGGTTTGTAACCTCAGTGGGCCCAGTTAAATGTCCCCTAAGTGCAAAAAAGGCAGCATCTGAATGCACAGTGTGTGTGCATGTAGGGGACATGGCCTGAAGGGAGATTTAGACTAGATTAAGAAGAATGTCTTTACTGAAAGAGTCATCAGGTGCTGGAACAGGCTGCCCAGGGAGATGGTGGAGTTACCATCCCTAGAGGTACTTAAAAAGTGTGTAGATGAGGCACTTCAGGACATGCTCTAGTGGTCTTTTTTTTTTGGGGGGGGGAGGGGTGGAATGGGTGTTGACAGTTGGACACACTGATCTTAGATGTCTCTTTCAACCGTGACAATTCTGTGATTCTGTGTGTGCACACGCCGAAGGTGGGCTCAGCAGTTACTGCTGAAATGGTACCTTGTGCTCAGATACCACCTGTACCCACCAGGAAGTTGCAAGGCCCATTCTGATGCTGGTTTTTCTCTTTCTCTCAAGATTATCAAGCACCTGGTTTCCCCTAGATCATGAAATGAGCCCAAATCTGTCCCTCACGTGTCTCATGCTATTATCCTCGTACAATGGACCTTCTTGCTGCTTAGTGGTGAGATAGTGACCCCAGGGCTAAACATGATTAGCACATGCTGACCTGTGATATAGGCATAGGCCTATTTTTTTCATGGGTGTTTGACCTCCAGGAGTCCAAATGGACAGAGTGGGTGGGAGGAAGCTA